ATAGAATACTTTTAAAGGGAACTCGCTGACCCTGCCAGCTGGGAGACAACGCTACGGATACGTTGTAGGGCAAATATAATGCCTCTGGAGTACAGTGAACTGAAAAAGGCCTGCTTTTATATCAGAGGTGCCATAATCCTGTCTAATTAGACCTTTTTGTCTTTAATTTTAGGCTGTGCTAAATTCAACCCCTGAATATGTATGTCCTATCTCCTACTATTCATTCCTCTATTTACTTCTATCCTTTGCCTTTTTATTTTTTTTTTTTAATTTGTTTGTGTGTGCTTCCATTTCCTGGGCTGTCAGTGTGAATGAGTCACTTTTACAGTCATTACAATGTCACTTTATGTCATTTTCTAAAGCTTTCTGGTTTTGGCTACTACCGGAAATGCTAGCTTTTATTTTGGTTTTTCCAGTCAGCTAGTTAGAGATAAATACCATGCTGAAGAAATGTTTGCTTTCAAACATTCTGGTAACTATAGAAATTGGTGTTGAAGAGACTTCTTAGTAAAACAATAGTTACACACACACACACACATATAAAAGATCCGACTCCAGAGGTTGCAAGCTGCATGGAGAACACACCAAGTTTTATAATTGTTCATTTTCAAAAAAAAAAAAATAATCTTCAGAGTTTTCTCATATTTCTGTGTTTAGGTGGTAAGCCCTAGTTGTAAGGCCTAGTAATAAGGATCTATTATTGGGAACTTCCTCAATTGCTTGATGTCTGCTTTGTCTACCTATATTCCAGCTTGGTGGAAACTAATGGCATTACTCACAAATGAAAGCGTTTAATTAAACCAGTAAATAGATCGGTGCCAATTATTACCCATAGACCTTTGATCTCCTTTGTCAAGTATCCTAGATGTTGTCTGTTATAGATATAAAAATGTCTCATTCAAAAGGTAGGCAGTTTGGGAGCAGTAGAGTGCCAGTTCCTAAGGAAATGTCTTAAGAATTTATAAAATTTGCATTAATGACACTTTGATGTAGAGAAAAACCGCTATTAATGCTGGACTGATTCCTGGCTGTCCTAAATTAGGACTCTTCTGGAGTAAGAGGCTATATTTACTCCCAGAGATTTTCAGAATTTGGCCTAAATAATCAGACTGTTTAACATGAATTATTTAAACTCAACATTTCCTATCTTTCCCGTGCCAGACAGTCCTTCACAAATGCGTGCATTTGAATATTTTACTGAGCGAGATGTCATAGGTGAAATATTTTGAATTATGCTTTCCATATAAATACAATAAAAAATAAACAGAATGCATTAAAAAAGGAAATAAAATCAATGTCATAGGAGCCTTACAGTTTTAAAGTTGTTACTGGGCAGATGAACATTAAGTCAGAAAACTTGGACTTTTCCAGAGGATTTGGGTTTTTTCACTGAAAAAGCAGTGCCAAGTTCACTTTGATCTTGGATTTTGCTCTTCCTGTAGGAATGTAGGAATTATAATTAAGCTACAGAAGGATTTAAGCATTTCAGTATTAAAACCTTCATCCCTGTCATCCCACCTCCACCCATACCTGATGCAGTGTTCTGGGAATACGTGGTCTTGGGGAAAGGTTAGCAAGAAGACAAAGGAGATTGCAGTAAGGCAGATATGCAGTTAAACAGCATAATTTTTTTCCTCTTGGGAAATTGCTCAGGCATCAAGAAGTCCTATTTCTGACAAGACACTCTTTTCAGGGAAATGTAGGAGTTGAGTGGAAGAATAGAAATACTGTACCCTGGTAAGGTTTCTGTTCTCTGTACAAATGCATAATCACACAGTGACAATTATATATGGTAGCTCATGATGTACAAAATTCTATTTCCAAATGAAAAAGAGAAACTTTCTGAGGATTTCCATATCTGGCTAATCATTTCCTATATTTTTCTTCTACTTGGGAACAGGCTTTCAGGAATATTGGATGACTGAGTAAAAATGGATTACTAAATTTTGTAATCTAAATCTATACATTGCAGGTTCCTGGAAGAAGGAACCAAAGCCTCGCTTTGAATGTCCCAAAAGCGAATTCAAATCGAATTCTCCTGAACTAGTGAGAGTTTTCCTGTCATGTTTGGAAAAACTCAAATACAGAAAATGAAAGTGAAGGGGTAAACTTGGAATTAATCGATGGGCAAGGGAGGTTGTGGAAAATTTGCAAGTTTCTTTATGAATGGTCACAACCGTGCCAGTGATTACAAATTAAAACTTCTAAGGAAAACAATGTCCTTAGAAAATTACCCTTTCCCATGTCATTTCAAAAACTGAAATTGAAAGTATATTTTGTAATTTTTCATTCCTATGAACTCACAGGAGCCAGGCAAAGCGTGAAAGTTATTACTATCCAAGTATCAAATCTGAATATTTTATGATATTTCTGCTTTTATTCAGGCTAGATGATGTCAAATTATCACCACCTTTATTTACATTATAAAGCTAAGTACTTGTTCTTATGCAGTTGTTTGAATTTTTTTACTTACTATTTCTCCCCATACATTTTTTCCTAGTTGTGGATTTATTTTACTTTTAGTTAATGTCAAACTAATAACTCAAAAGTCTCTCGAATCCTAAAGAAAATCTTGGACAACTTCAGGCTACCTTGTACAGAGTTATTTTGTTCCTCTTTTAAAGCATGACCAGAGAGATGAATGAAAAGACTTGCTGTAATTATTTCTCTAACTTTTGGATTAAAAAAATAAAATTCTTGCAAGGCCATGTACCACAAAGCTTTGCATGGAAGAAACTCTGGTATTAGGCCAAATGCATAGTAAGAAGTAGTCTGTTTCTGGAAATCATAGAATGGACTATGAAAGCTGAAAAGAAACATTGTTGCCTCTGTTCACTTTGTGCAGTAATATAGTCAATAGAACTCCTTTTTAAGATGTTTTCCTGGTTTATTTTGGACTTTTGTTATACTCTTACATGGTATTATTTTGATATCTTAAAAGCTTTGCTTTTAACAGATGTGATTTATTTCTAGCGTCTGAAGACTGACACCATTTTTGCCAGGTAGTGTATAAAGAGATCTATTTCTGTGGATCTTTTGGCATTCAACTTCATGCACTTTCACAGAAGTTGATCAAATTCAGGGCAAATGTCCTGAAGCTGTGACAGTAATGTCAAGGTTGGCCATTGCCCTTGGTCTGGTACAGTTACTTTGCTTTCAACCTGAGTTATAGTAGTACTGTGCTCAGGAAAAAATTGGAGAGGGAACGCCTTCCTTTGATTGATTGGAAAACTGAAAATTACCTGCGTAACGACAAGAAATGCTGAAAATATCCCAGAGAGAGCGCATACTACTGCTAATGTCAGGTGCTCTAACTCAAAAGTATTCAGTGGGTAGCAATGACCATTTCAGTACAGACTCTTCCTTTCATTTAATGGTGAAATATTTTAAAAAGTCAGTGATGAGATAACACTGGGACAACAGCTGGGAGAAGGATGGCATTAGAAAATGGAAATAATTAACTAGCACATAATTATCACATATAAACAGGAGACTTCCAAACAGACAGACAAAAAAGTAAGGCAAATGAGAGCAGATGGGGTACACAAGTAAATGTAGACAGAGACAGTAGCATTAATGAATGTAATTAAGTCTACATATCCAGCGTGGTAGAGTGAACTGATACCTGACAAATCCATAACACAGTGCCATGTTGTTTTTCCCTGTGTTTTAGCAGTATTGTAGGGATATCCTGCAATCAGCCAAGCGATCCGTAAGTAGTTCCTCCAGTAAAAAGGGTGGGGGAAAATTGTTTTCGTTATGGATTCATTATGCATTATCCACTCTGAATGGCGCAAACAGATCACTAGATATTTGTTGCTGTGGAAAGGGGAAAAATAATACCTTATTAGATTAAGTTTGAATATATAAAATAGTATAGGAATGTAAAACCGTAGTTCTAGTTAGAAACACAAATGAGGACACTAATTCTGTTCTGTGAAAAATACCTGAAATGAGTGATTGTAGCTCTTGCATGTTTTCCCAATTTCCATAATGTTTCAGAATTTCTAACAAGTTGATTTCTATTCCAACAGTAGCTATTAAATCTCTAGTAGAAAGCAAGAGTTTCTGAATTTGTTCATAAAAGTAAAAATTTGCCAAAGTTTAGTATCATACTTGAAGAACAGAGGGTATCTATAGGGAATCTATCTGTTGGTAGCCAAAGGAGATACTGAGCCTATTCTCTAGTTAGAATTCAGACATCCTTAAGAAGCTTTTAGTTAGTTGCAAAATATGTGTTTCTAAAAAAGTTTACGCAGAAGTTTGCCAGAGATACTCACGTATGTGCATGCGTAACCTCATCTTTGACAACTTGAACGTGCCAGCTGCCATAGAATGAAAGTATTTTCTTCGTGTGAATGACTATGGTTGCACTGATCCTATGTGAAAAATAATGGCTCTGCACTTAAGTGAGGTATTCAATATTAAAGGGATCTACAAGATACAAAACACTTCCTAAAACATTGAAACCCATGGTGCACAAAGTTCGCTGACTCCTGTGAAATGGACATTACACAAAAGTCCAGGAACTTGGTAACTATACATTGATGAAATATTTGTTAAAAAAAGAATCTTATGTTTGTGGCAAAAAATCTGGGGTGTGCAAAGTAAAACTTACTTGGAAAGATTGGCCATACCAGCCAACTACAAACAGTATTAATTAAAAGGATATTCAAAGTACAGTGTGTTACATTTTATATCATTATGTGTTCTGGGAGGTGATTTCAATTAGGGCTTAAAATAAAAATAATAGCAATGCCTCTAATCTGTACTAGAGATGGGATAGGACACTTGCAGTCAGCTGAGCATAACTATAAATCTTATCTTGTTATTCATTGTGCTTACAATATAATTATACGAACATCATTCAAATTATTTCAAAAGCTCCCAGTTTGTATATCTGCCCGTATGGCTATGCACTACCCTGCTAATGACTTTTGCAGAGCACTCAAGGAATTTGATTGAAGTGTATATTGTCATTTATATGTTATACAGGAAAGATGAAAGGAAGAAAGAAGGGATGTTCCTTACCTTTAACCTTGATCTTGCTGTTTGTCTGTATCACTGAACATGCAACTACTGATTTAGATGACGGCGAAGAGGAGGATGTTCTGGGTAAGAAGTTACAAAAATAACGCATAAAACTATCTTAAATAACAAAACCCACAATGTTAAAATGCACTGTAGATGTAATTCTGTACCTGAGAATTTTTCTGGGAAACTTTCGAAAGTGGAACTAAGCTAAAAATACACTGGTTTCTAACTAACAGGGAGATGCTCAGAATGTTGCATCAAGCTCTAGCAAAATTGCCTTCTATAAAGGCTTCTCTTCCCCATGCTTTTTGGAACTTCTAATCCTAATCAAACATTGCATTAGATATCAAGATTATTCCCTTAAAGCTTTGCTTTAGGACCCATGGAAAAGTTCAGTGTTTAGGGAAAAGAACATAGAGCTGGTAAACTCAAGTTTTATCTCTCCATGCAAATGGAGCAGAAACACAATGAATAACAGTGTAGACTGATGTTACTCTGTCCTGTGCAGAGCTCTCTGAGTTATAGTTAATTTGCAAAGTTTGGTCTAAAGTTGATGCAATTGCTGCTCTAGTTGTTTTTCTGGGCCTTGAAGCAGCTCTTTGTATAGCCCCAAGTGGTTTGATATTGCTGGATAAATAAAAACTCACCAGCTAGAAAGAGATTTTTGTTAAGAAAAAGAATGTCAAAAGTGCGACTGTTGGAACTGGGGAGGTTCTCGGCTTCTTACCATTTTAAGATCATTATTTACCTTCAGTACATTGAAATTAAGTAAGGTGTATCAAACTTCTATACTGGATATCATTGTGAAAGGTATTTTAATTTCCTCCCCCAAAATTTTAAGAAAGCAGATGAGGGGGAACGCTTTTTGGACTGTACGAAAATATTCTTCTTTCCTTTGAGAAAATGGTACAAAATTGTGATCTCTTTCTTAAGCTGCAGACAACTATGGAGTGAATACTTCTCCCGTTTTACAGGCCTGATTTTGAAGCCTAACTGGGAATGCAGCTAAGGGGAATTTTTTTTTTTTTTATGTTGACACTCTGTTTAATCTGCTCATGTCTTGTCTGATTTCCATCCAGATTATTTCTCTCTAACAGTATTTTGCAACAGTGTTCCTTGAGACAAAAATATTAACTGTGCTCAATCATGGCTATAGTACAAACGGAGCTGGTGCTTTAGGACGGGGTCACAATTAGTCACTACAGTTTAAGATATGTGCTGCTCCACATTAAGCATATGTTTAGAATGGTTGTGTAGTCAAGACTGTTTCATGCAGAATAAATTTGTTTCTCTTTAGCCCTGTAGTACATACATTCCCCTCTTGTTTGAGGGCAAAGTCACTGCAACTCTTACTTTTGTAAACATCCTTAGCCTAAGCTTCCAGTTTATGAAGGTCAGATTGTCTTACTTGTTACAATAACCCACTTCATCAACAGAACAAGAAATCTTTTGCCTCTATTTACTTACTTTGTTTATAAAAGGCAATAAAAAATAATCTCAAGGAAATTAAATAGTCTTTTTATTGGGCATTATTTTATGATTTATTATTTTACAGCTAGTCGGTTAAGATTATATAACTAGTAACCTATTTAGTATGAGGAAGAGTTCTGAACTTTTGGCCATGTATTCCAAAGTAAAAAAAAAAAAATCAAATGTGATGCTGAGAAATTAAACTAGGACCCTGTTTTGGTGACTACTGAAGACTCAGTTGAAGCGTTTACAAAAAATTTTTTTTGCAGTACTCTGTTTCTGTGAAATGATTAGAATGTTGCTAATTAAAATTATATTTGTGCTTTCTTAAGAGTTAATTTCTGCTCTCAGTGAATTTAACTGTAGACATTTTGTAGGCTGCAATTTCACTGATAGCATTTATTTTCTGAGTTATAGTTATAAAACATTGACATATTTTACCCTAGAATTGAATAAATTTCAAGTATTAAAGGATAAAAATGAGTTGTGTACATCCATTATTTGTAATGCCATACTTTTGGATCACATTGGGTACAAGTGCTTTGTGAATCTGAGTGGTATTTTTGACCATTAGTATTTAAATTACAGTAAAAATTAAGGTTGCAAGCCAAATCCAATGGGATGAAAAGGATTCTCAGTTTGTTCTTATCTGGCAGAAACTGTCATTTTTCCACCAATAAATAAGGGTGATAACAAAAATAAAAGATATAAATATAACTAGTTTATGTATACTGTTCAGTAATAATACCTTATGTGGTTGGGAGCACTTTAGTTGATATTCCAAAGCCTGAAGAAAATGACTCACAAGTTGAATGTGCTTTTTATTCATATGTGAAATTTTATCAAGAATAAATGTGACTGCTTAAAGAAAGGGTAGGAAACACATGGGTAGGAAGAGCCCTGAACAGTGTGCGGGTGGAAAGCTGTCAAACTGACGAAGACGGAGAGAGAAAAAACAGCTATTCATTAGTGACAAGGTGCTTAGTGTTGATATCACTTATCAAAGAGAGACATTTACAAGAAAGCCTGGAACAATGACAGCATATCTTCATAATTAAGGATAACCACAGAAACTCATGTAAGGTTGAGAACCCATAACCTAAGCAAAGAAAGCCAGAAAGTATGTCCCATAAAAAGTCAGAAATATTCCTGACCAAGTTTTCTTTTCCTAATTTAATTAATATTGTTCTGTTCTGAAAAACAACTATGCAATAATACTGTTGTCTTTCATATTTATTGTGCCATAGGTATAATAGAGACATCAGTTCACTTTCTAATTAAAAGGATGTATTTTTAACAACCAGCCTTGCAGATTATCCTTAGGAGTCTGGAAGCCAAGTTAGAGTCTTGTATTATGCCTACAGCAAGGGGGAAAAGTATTGGTTTTACTTGTATTCATGTAAGAGGATTAGAGACATTATTCACCACTTCTGGTTTTGCAATATTATATTGCTTACAAGTAAAGTGATGACGCTGCTTTACCTTGATCATATAAGGTCCATGCGCTCGGGGCTACAGCATGACTAATTGCAGATTATTAGAGCTCTCACGATGAAATTACTGTATGACAGTTAATAGTGGCTGAGCAGCCATGTCTTAGTTGCAAAAGTTGCCGTGTGAATGACAACAAAAGTGAGAAAGGCTGTGCTGTGTAGGACCAGCCTTGGCCTGTATCCTGTTCCTGACAGTTGCCAAAAGTAGGAAGACTGAAGGAATGGAAGAAGAAGGTACAGACATAAAATATCTGCACTGAACTCCTGCTCATTGTGAGCCATTTCATCAGCATTACTTTGCACTTTCCAGAAACTATAGAGTGGAAAGCAGTGGACGGTTGGTGCCTTCTGCTATGAAAACCTGTGTAGCTGATGTAATGAAGTTATTAAATGAAGAATTCAAGGACCAGGAGAGGAGAAGATGTGTTGCTTTGCTTATTTTATTTTTAGTATGTCAAGTAATCACTCTTGTGTGATGGTGAGCATCAGCTGTAACCATCACTGAATGTATTTCTAGCAAAACAAACTCAATTTTCTTGGTCTAGGGTAGTACAGTCGAATAATTCTATAGGTTTGCTAAGTTTATTTGGATCAGATCCCTGAATTGGATAAGTAATAAATATCTAACAGGGCCAGATCCAATGTGGAGGATTAAAATAACTTTCTTTTTAAAATGACAAATGCAACATACTATACATAAGAAGGAGAACCAATGTGTTCATAAATATAAGGCAGAAAATAACTGTTGAAGTACCCATATAACAAGGTTATATTTGCTGGAGGGTAAGTGAAAGTTGCAAAGTATTACAAAAATAATGCAATGTTTTTGTAAAACAAGGCAAGTAATTCTGTCATGTATTAAGAAAAAAAAAAATCAAAGGATAATTATTCCACTCTATTTGGCAGCAGTAATGCCTCAGGTGAAGGATTATGTTCTGCTCTGGGCAGCACACTTTAACAGTAATTCAGACCAATAGGAAAAGATCCAAAGGAGAGTTGTAAGAGGGTTAGAAAGCAAGGCCAGTAAAAAGATTGGAAGAGGGGAGTTTATTTACTGTAGGGATAATTAAGAGGAGACAAATGCCTTCCGAAAGAAAGACTGGACGATTTTAAATTGTTCTGTCTATTCAACGAAGAAAGTACAAAATGATATAATATGTAATAAAGAATATTTAGGCTGTATATTACAAAAAAGGACTGTCTTGTGAGAAGGCTAATGAAATCCTGGAAGTGGGCTGCATCACGTTGCAGGGAATTTTGCTTCACTGGACTTTTTTAAGAACAATTTGGACATCTGTCAGAAAAGGTATTTATCCCATAGAAATATGTCGAAACTTGAATGAGAAACTCCATTAAAATTCCATCCAGTTTTAGCTTCCCATGTTTCTATTGAAGAATATTCACTGACCTTCCTGACAGACAATTTCCCTAAATGTCATATCCTGTGTTCTTCACACAGGACCTAAAATGTAGCAGGAGTAATTTGTTCCAGTGTTCAAGAGCAGAGTAGGAGGCCTTATACTGAGAATTAGTTTTCTCAAGGTATATTCCACACGTAAAATGAGTACAGGCAGATTTGTATCCATGCGATCTACTGGCTGAACACTCAAGCTTGCCTTCTCATCTGCTGCTCTAATCTGAGAAGGAAAGCTAATTTTATATCAGCTGTATGAGTTAAGTGTTCCCAGGTGTAAAATAATGGGGAAAAATTTTTTCAGTGTTCCCAGACACAAAAATGATTCAGTTCCCATTAATCCCTTTGAGACTTCTTTCTTCAGAGTGGCTTGGTTATTGTTCAAAGTCAGAAGCTTTGGCCCCTGGGGGTTTCACAGGGTACAGATTTTAGTCAAAGTATGGTAACTTGCTAGTGTTCCTAGGAAAATAAATGTCTGATTGCCAAAAAATGTGACACAGATAGTCATTATATGTTTGCAGCAGATGTCAGTACATCTGACAGTATTAACTGTGACTGCGGAGGAAAAGCCTTAGGAGGTAAACAAAACAATGATTTAGTTCTGTGGGTTTGATGGGAAATAGGCTAGGAGGTGAGACCAGAACATTCCTAAGATAAACTTGACTAAGCCATCATCTTTGTGTAGTTTTGCAACAGTGCTTGCACTGTATTTCTGTTTTGATAGCTCACAACATTGGTTTCGAGTAATGTAGCAAGCAACATGAGCTGACATAACCCCATGTCTGAAATTCTAGTAGTTAGGAAACCCAGTAAATTTTCACAACCTCTCCTAGACTGAACTGGGTCACTGACACAGGTTGCGTAGATCTCCTTTTTTGTGTGCCAAGACAATAACCTGTTTATAAACCAGCTGCCAGCCTTCACCCCAACCACATTTGAGTTGGATTGGTTTCTGTGGAGCTCTGAATGTTTGAATTTACCATTTCAGGAGTTATTCCAAAAGTTACTGAAAACTTTGATGCTTTGAAGATGCTTTTTCCCTATTACTGAGTGGGGGAATTCCAAAGTTTCATTGTGCAATGCAATATCCTCTCAGCTTTTCAAGTTGGGCCTTTTTAAGTCCTTTCCAAAGTATTCCCAAACCTGTTGGACAACTTCAGACCTTTGAGGTCCAATTTGGAATCTCTTGCAATTTTTAAATCCTAATTCTTCATGGATTATGGAAGACCCAGATAAGGAAACTGGCAAGAAACAAAATTCAGAAGTCTGTTTGGCAAGCTGAGCTCCATAGGAAGTTTACTGAATATAACACCTCTTAAAAATGTTTCTTTTAATTTGTCTACATTTCCTATTGCACAGTCTTCAATAATGTTTTCAGGTATATTTTGCTAACTTCAAAGTCTGTAAACATAATTTCACTAATGAAGAGACAGACCCAAACTATTTTAGGGACTGAATAGTTAATGAGAATTTTGAAATTAGTCATCTTAATCTGGTTTTTAACCCCAAATTGTCCATTTTGGGGATATCTAATTGTGTGCTACAATTTTTGTGTTGATGGTTGTGTAATAAAGGTTGATAGCATTTAAATCCTTGAAAAATTATGAGTTAAAAGATTATATTACCGAAAATTGTTTCTTTCCTGTAAGTTTAATATTTATTAAAAGGCTCAAATTGAATAAAATTGGTAAACTTCCATTGACCTCAGTATTTATGAGGATTTATCTCAACTGTGTGTTTCATTTAAAGATTATATAATAAGGCCAATTTTACATGTTAAAATTAGATATCCACAGAGCAGGTAGGTAGTAGTCATACTAATTTCCTTTTTAGAATGTCGTAAAGCCTGATTTTTGTGGATTCGTTTAAGTAAAACTGGAAACTTAATCTAGTTAGTAGTAGTAAGCTGTGCAATTATCATGTAAAGTCTTGTCCTCATCCTTTTTTTTTCTCCTGTTTCCTGTGCCACTGCAAAGAGCACTGACAGATACTTTTGCATATATGTTAAAAGACATCGATGTTCTGATTAGCTCTGGGAAAATGAATGAAAAATTTCAGGTCTGTTCTTCTGGCTGCTGTTGCAACCACACAAGCTCTGTAAAGCTTTCAAAATCCGCTAGAGTAAACAGTTCCTTGGAAAAGCAAAACAGGAAAAGATATTAAACCATGTATTGATAAGGGAACAGTATCACAAACTGGGTCATCAGTCAATGTTTCCTTATAGACACTGACAGTGTAAAACTTTGATAGTATTCTTCACAATATATATGAGAATTTTTATGAAACATTCCCTGAACTAATAACGTGTATTGAAAGATATAGAAATGACACTATTTGGAAAGATACGGTTGCTTTTCACCTTAACTTTCTAGTTGTGTACTTCTTAGCTCTTGAAAGCTCTAATGCAAGAACAGTGAGATCAAGGTAAATAGGACATTATGATGACCTTTCAATTGTGCCAGTAACGCGTGATCTGCTAGGGAAATGGTGCCCTCTGCAGGGCTGTCTTGCTTAGTTCATCCCACGTTGTTTGCTATGAGATGTCTTTATGAGCTATGTTCACTGTTAGAAGTGTATGGAAAAGCACACAAGGAACCCTCTTTCTGACTTTTTTTTTTTTTAATGCATGGGTAGTCACTGTGTCTTTGGGAGCTGCTGGGATTTTCTCTATGTATTTGTTGTTCAGAATTGTTCGCTAGCCCCTGTGAGTGAGCCACTATCCATAGCTATTTAGAGATTTATGATGAGTTAAAGTTTAAAATACGAGCTGTTTTGGTTCAAAATTGAAACTACGCATTTGGTTTGATTGAATGGAATTTGTGTTACAATACAGATGATGATTTTCTTTTTACATCTATGTTTAGTGTGTTTAGAGCTTTACAGCCAGATGTTACGCAGTGCCTCTCGAGCAGAAGACGCAAGCAATCTCATTTTGAAGTTATGCTGTGCAGTGAAGCAAACTAACTTAGTAACAGTTATTCTACTGCTCCTCTTTATTACAGGGGCTGCTTTGCCACCACTGAAACTAGGACATTCAGTCTGTGCCATGAAAGCTGATGAAGGTCCATGCAAAGCAATCCATATACGTTATTACTTCAATATTCAAAGCCGTGAGTGTGAAATGTTTGAATATGGTGGATGCCATGGCAATGAGAACAACTTTCTAACGCTGGAAGAATGTCAGAAGAAGTGTGGGGTAACAGGCCAGTACCCATTCTCTTAACCTCCTACCAGTTCTTTATCTGCATTTGTTATTTCTCACCCACAAACTGTATGAATTTTGGAAGTAGAGGTCCTATTCAGTTTCCAGTAATGCAGTAATGTTGTACCTCTAATTATGTTCCCAAGTATTATACTATGTTGTAGTCATCTGAATTACTTTACATTATGCAAGCAAACAGTCAGGATTTGGAAAGATGTGTGACTTTTTTATTGGACCTGTGGAATAGAAAGACCAATACAAGAAAGATCATTTTCTAGCTGGAGCCCTGTTTTGAATGAGTTCTTAAAGTGAAGTTGATTTTGAGGCTGGGCTAACCTGGTGGGCAGCAGAGATGTTCTTTATTGCTTTCAGAGTATCTGAACCCAATTTTTGGTCCCAGGTTTCTCCTTCACTGAGAGGCTGATACAGGCTGTCCAAACTCTTAGAGACCTGCTGTGATTCAACATAATTAGAAATACAGTAGTAAATAATTCTCATTAAAAATTTCAGTTATAGCTGTTTGTCATAAAAGATCTGTTGTGTTGAAACCTCATCAATTAATCATTAGAAAGAGAAAAATGAGATCCAAAATACGATACACAGAAGAATACACAGAAAATGCCTTGTGAATGCTGGTTTTGCTATTAAAAGCAGTTCTTATAATTAACTAAGGCTTTCAGCCTTGTGTAAGTAACCAACTTCTGTTCCTCACAGGAGTGTATGAATGTTAGAAGATTCTTAAAATTAAGACTGGCCAATGCCAGTGGAGCTAGAAATTTGACAAGTTCGTATTTTTAGAGACTGAAGTTTCTAAAAGTCTTATTGACGGTTTCCTCTGGATACCTAATGTATATCTTGCTTTCATGGGAATTAGATGGAATGTGTCTGGCTGTGTAAACAGGAAGTGATAACAAGGGAGGTAATGGGGGGAACACACAGTAGAAATAGAAAGAAAATTCCAGAATAAAGAGCTCCTCAAAGGTGTACGATAACCCTCAGTTAGTATACTAACTATCTGGGGTTTTTTCCCAAGTGAATTCATATATTGGATGTTCATTTATTTAGACTTTGAAGTAAGATAGAAGGATTCATTCTCACTAGAAGGTACTTTTCTGTCACATATGCCTTGCCCAGCAGCAAAACGGGTTATTGTTACTGAGCTCAAGGCAGTGATGCTGGGCAATCCTGCAGTGGAGAACAGTTTATAGGTTATTCTGAGTATGTGCAACATGATTGGATGAAAATTGTTAATCTCTCCTGCCTATTAGAGATGTGCCCTCATAGCACCCTACTGCTATGCAGATCTTGGTAGGTGTCACTTCATTTTCCCTGTTTTCATAAATTATTCTAGTCCTGGGCCTTTCCGTGAAACTGCAAATCTGCCACTGTGCTACAGGCACTGAGATAGTTTGCAGAATATAAGTTTGTACCTTCCAGAATTAGCATAGGTCACTTTAAAGCACAGCAAGTTTATGTATGTTACCAAAAATGCTTCCAGAAATTTCAGATGAGAAAGTTGATTTCAGAAGCTTCTTTGCGTTTTCTGACCCAATATACATATATAAGACAAGCTGATTTATAGCATCATGTTTTGTCTGTAATAAATATAAATGTCTCTGTTAGCCACCTCTCATCCCTTCCAGAATTCACATCTATGTAGTATTTAGATCAGACCTTAAATCTGTTACATTATCTGTTTCACAACACATCTGTATTTCCTGATAAAGATTACTACGAATTGTGTCACCAAATTTATTCTAGACATCAAAGGGTAAGTATCCGTCTCCCATCCTGGTGTCAGAGTAATGGCTGGTGCTGATGTGCGCATTACCCTAAGTAACACTTTAATGTTTGTTAGTTATAATGCTTCTAATCCTCAGAATCTGCAAACATTAACTGATCATACCTATAAGCCAGGTATTGCAAATAAGCAATTTATTATCTTCCATTTACTGACAGAAAAAGAAAGGTGGTAAGGTGACAGAAAAATAAGTGAAGTGCATAGACTGTGTTAGAATCAGAGCAGGAAGTACAGCTCAGCGTGTCTGGCATTTACTTGACCAGTACGTATAACCTCTTCTCTTCCGTCTGTATGAACTATATTGTCTTGATACTATATTATATAGTCTTAATATTTATTAACTCTTCCACAAGGTTGAACAAGTTTTTCAAATAGTTACAGGGGTTTAAAAGGAAAGGTAAAGTTACTAAAAAGATGTTGCAGGTTCTGTTTCCTTATACTGCTTTTCAGCCATCCATATAGGTAGCTGGTGTTTCCTCCCCGATGTGTTTATGTGATAAAATGATTCGTTTGAATACAAACCAATGCACCAGCAACACACGTCATTATCCAGCATAGGCTTTGTGAATTTCTCAAGTCTGTAATTCAGTTCTTTGGATCAGACTTTTGTCCCTCTGTATGCAGTCCAGCCTCAGTGAGGGAAAGAATAAGTGAGTATTTACATTTCTTATACATTTCTAGCATGACAATTGTCAATGGTGTTTACGATTTACAGAGTAAAACAGGGTTGCTTTCTTACCTGCACAAAGTGAGCCAGAATAGTGTGGCTGAAAGGAACAAGGCCTCAATGGGACTGTATGTATAAATAATAGCAAAATTTAGCCTAATGTGTTGTACGTGAGCACAAAGTTTCAGTGGTGAGAAGATATTGGAAGAACAGCCAACAGAGGAATTCCCATCCTTCCTAACATGTATCCCTGGTCTTGATCCCTTTGATCTTTACAGTGAGGAGACTGCATGCATTTTATTTACTTTCTAAACACCAAATCAAGGCATTATTTACTATTCACACCTATTTTGTGATCTGCTGGTATCACCATACATTTCTCTTATTGTACCTGGTACTATAGACAATCCACTCAAAAGAAAAAAAAAATACACACAAATATGAACCTGAAATTTTAGAATGAAAGGAGATTTCAGTTATTTTTCAGTTATGTTTTACTTTGAAACAATTGCAGAATTATAAAACTATCAGGCTGGAAAAAACATTATGAAACTTCACTAACAACTTGTCAAAATGAAAACAGATCACGAATGGCAGGTTTTTTAGTGCATTTTACTCTAAGGCTTAATTTGAAACTTATCTTTTGATGTCTTCTGGCAAGATCCACTCATGAGTCTCAGAGACTGGATGTGGTCCACAGGAGTAGTGGCAAGAATCCGTCACAGTCTTGCTCTGTTTTTCAGGAGTCATATGTGGGTAAATGCAGTACTAATGATATTAAAATAAGGTATATCTTGAAATGACATTCCATTGAGGAAAAATGATATAAAAATCGTAATTCCTTGGTTACTACATAACATAATCTAGCATTTCAAGTCAAAAAAGAGGTGATATAGGGAAAAAGCATCTTCCTGAACATAAACATCTTGCCCTAAGTGCAAGCACACATGAAGTCAATGAAACTCTGTCCTACTTGGATCTGAATTGGGTCTTAAGCCATCTTCCATTGAACTGGCTGAGAAGGGCAAGAACCCTTACATCACTGATTCAGTTTCTTTTCATGTTGAAGTCTCAGATATTACTAGAAGTGCAGATTATTATTTTGGTGCTCATGTACCTGTATTTGTGTCTTTAGAAATCAGTTAGGATAAAAGCTGTTTACAATATTGTTCTTTCTCTAGACTATACTATGTGTATCTTGAATTCTTCACACCTGAGCAAAAAAAATAGAAACAAAAGGGAGATAGAATTCAAGTAATATGTTCTTAGATCTTCATAAGAAACTACTGAATAGGAGCAGATGACAGGTCTTGGCAGAAAATCAAACATGGCAGAAAATCATTATGGAGGAACGGAAGGTCAGGGCTGTGCTTAACCATTATACAAAACTAACATGAAAATGAGATTTTGCTCCTTTTCTGCCTTCCATATTTTCTTCTTACATTTCTACAAATTGTCCTATCATAAGTTCTGGCTGTTCAGGAACTGAACCCTACGAGTTTTAAGGAGAGCAAATAGCTTTGTGCTGGTTATAGCAGAGCTTGTAATCATTAACACATTTCAGATGTCTTGTATCAAGGTCTAAGTGATAATTCTGATTTCTCTACAGCTGGGTCATTTTCTGGACCCGGAATATGCCAGTTTTAGTGCTTGTTAGTAGAGAAGGTAGGGATGTAGTGACTGAGGCTTAAAAGGCTTCCAACTTGGGCTGAAGGTTGCCAAAGGTTTTACGGTTGCCAAAGGTTTTACACCTGCCAAACCGGGTGTAAAATACTCACATTTGGCATTTGCTAATCAGTACCCCTGACTAAAGAAGCTGATGTCCTTCCTCTACTTAATCCAACCGGGGCAAATTTTTCAGTATTAATTAACGTTATTTATTCTGTATGGTTATGCAGAAGATGTATCTCCATCAGAAGTGAATGATGATATTTCCATGAGCATTCAAGACAAATTAATATCATTTTAAGGAGTTAAGGAGTTAAAAATTATTCAAATCGTGGCATTGATATTTTCAATAGTAATTGTCTGTTTATCTGACAAATGGTGTTTCTAGACATAAAATTCTTCCTTTGTCATATAGCTTTCATGAGTCCTAAGTTTGTATCATGGATCAAATTGATTTTTTTTCCCTATGAACAACAGCTTAAAAGTTTCTTTCCATATTTACTGAATTTTCAGCGCAGAAATTAACGAAACTTGTAGCTGAATGCCAGACTTAATACATACATATAAGTTTAAAAATTGAATGTTGACAATGTCATTCTAAGAGAACAACCTTCCTTAGAAGGCATTTTCTTCACTTCTACAGTGTTTTGTTTAGAAAATTGTGATTAATCTGTTTCTAGTTATGGGTCTGCAAAATTTAACAAATACAATATTTCAAGACAAAAACTAGGAAGTTATTTTTCTTGATTAGCATTCAGTGTCAGAACGACCTGGGATCTAGGATGTGAAGATAGCTCTTCTTTTTCTGTCACGAGACTGACTTTTGGTACTTTACATCTGGTATCTGGTTTTGGGTTTCAGCTCAACCCACAGCATTTTTGCCATGCTTGGAGCAGGGTTGTTTGCAGGACTGCAGCTGCCAGTATCTCATCCAAAACAGGAGTGATCCAAGAATCTGCAAGTGTTGAATCTGCGATGAGAAACTGGAGCAATAAAGGCTCGTTATTTCTGTATTCTTTGAATGAATACCAGCAGATAAAAAGGTTTGGTGGCACACACAGTACGCTGTTGACCATCAGCCATGATAATAAGTTAACTTGCTTGTGCCAACATAATTCAGTAAAAAAAAAGAATATAATTCAGTAGGTTCTATTTGTTAAATCTGTTTCTGTCTGCGCAGCCCTGCGGTATATGGTTATATTCATCTTACTTAATGTTTCCAGTATTTATTACTGCAGGAAGATCACTATTTAGTAACTGTAGAAATCAGACTGAAAAGACAGTATGAGTGATAGGAAAATGCTTGAAAAGAAAGAAAAAGCTAAGAGATACTCAGACAATTATCACTGTGAAGAATGTGAAGAAGATGATTGCTAAAAATAAGCTAAAGGGAAGTTATATACACAAATCCAAAAGAAATAATGTGAATAGTCAAAGTGTCTGATTTTCCAATATTAAGCACAAATAGAAGAATAAATGAGCCAACATGACTGAATTGCCAGGTTCCTTAAATCAGAGCAAGTTTTAAAAATTTTTGAATGAATAAGCCATCAAAGACAGCAGTGAGTAATTCCCAGAACTGGCTAAAGTCAGTACAAGAGAGTTCAGAGAACCAAACTAGAGGTTGGCCGCTCCAAGACTCTCCAAGACAGTGTTCAGATTCAAGATGCCAAGTTCTGACTCGTCTCCTAGAAATCAGCTGCATTTCTTGTTTCTTGTGCCACATACTCACCACTTCAGGCAAGTAGAAAATACTTTTAAGAGGATTTTTCCTATATGCTCCATTGTTTACTGGATGTGAGTAGAATCAGAAATGTTACCACTAGCAAAAATGTCCTAATTTTCAAGGCAGTGAATATATATCTTAGGCTACTTAAGCTTGTAAGCTGGGAAAATACCTACTGATAAAAGGTTCTGGACATGACAGCAATTCTGATGTCTATTATTTACACAGTAGATCTACTCAGAAATACAGTTTGTTTACAAAGAGGAAATTAATTCAGCTGTGGATTTGCCTTTTTGACTGAAACCAGAAGCAAAAAGACACTGCTGACATGGTAGTAAGATTAAAATATTCTAGGCCTGTGTAAACTTACAACAAATTCTTCCTGTCCTGTGCCAGAAGAGTAGAGATCATATGCCAAAGCATGATTGCTGATTTTGGCTTGAAGGGGACAGCTCAGTGAAATTAGTGAAATGGCCTGATGTGAGTGTCCATGGTTTAGGTCACGGATTCAAACGCTGAAGGCACAGCCTCCTACTAGTAGGAAGCACTGGAAAAATGTTCAAACAAATGATATGTCACTCTGAAGTGCGTGTCGTGTCTTTAAATATTTTTTTTTTTTTAAGGATGCCAGCTGCATTGTCTTAGAGATGGAAGGGAAAAGTATCATGACAGGATTTCTACCTGATAGATTTACTTCGAGTTTGTTTTCAATTGCTGAAAAGGAATGTGGGGTTGAATTCAGATATGTAGCTTCTTGAGCAAGTACAATAAAACGCAGGCTCCTCCATTAAAAATGCCAATAGCAACTTCATCACTCCTGGTCAGGCATTAAAAGAACAGTGCAAACAAGTTTGTCGTCTGTACTGCCTTAAAGATGGCTGGAGATACTTGGCTGAGTGGGCTTTAATATCATAAACAGCGTAATGAACGCTTTACTGAAACACTACATAGCACAGCAAAGCAAAGGGAATTAGGTGGCATGACAGAGGTCTTTATTGCTAACTAGATCAGCTCCGAAGCTATTAGCAGTATCAGTAGCTACAGCAGTTGGGTTAAGTAAGTCTGCTAATTACTCCTCTTTTAAAGATGTAAGATTACATAATACAGGATTCTTATTCCAGTAACATGAAGAGGAATTTCTCAGTTCAATTCAATAGTGGCATAATTTGATGCCAGTACTTTCCATATGCTCAAGTTTCCAATATAGCAGGTCTTATACAAAGGAAATGATACTTCAGTCCTCCACAGCAAGCTTTTGTGCCACTTCTTTAACAAAGAAAAGAAAAAAGAGGAAGAGATGTTGTATTCTTCCTCCTCAGTGCTCATGGTCGTTGCTAAGCACCCTGGTATCACATGTGAGACTTAACAAGTCTGCTTTTGCTAAATACTTTTCTTTTTATTTATATTGCAGATTTGCCTCGGAAGATGATGTTAGCAAAAATTAGGAAAGGTAATTATGTTTACATAGTAACCTAAGACTCGTACAATGATAAGGGATTTAGCTTCTTTTGATAAACTCTTTATGTATGGTTCCAAGCTACCTCCGAGTAAAATCAAGAATGTCACTCTGAAGTGAGTTCTTACTCCTAATCATCATCTTCTGTATTCCTCAAAGACTTTGAGGACAGTTGTGGTCACTGAACATAGTAGCTGCAATCTCTTCTTGCCAAAATAAACACATCATGATGCTTTTTTTCTCTTTCTTCAATACAGAGAAAAGGAGGACTCTGCAGAGATTCAAGCATTATATGATTAGCCATGATATGAAACTCTTTTTGTGTGTTTTGAGACTGATCTAAATGCTTCCTCCACTGTTAGCAAAGATAGGGAAAAAATCACTGAAACAGAACTTTTCAAGCATTGCCTGTGTAGGAGCTAGCAGAGGTTAGGGCAGATCCCCTAATTACTTGTTAAGCACGGGGGCATGTTTCCCACTCCTGGGAAGGGGCAGACAGTTTACAGAAATTTAAATGCCTTGGTACCCAGACTTCCTAAATAGCCAGTGCTTAAGTACCGAGAATCACTGGTCTGAAGCACTGTTGGTCTATTGAGGTAACCTATGTTCCCAACAAGGACATTTAAGTTCCACACTGACAATAGAGCTTGTGAAGACCTGTTCCACACCACCCTCTCTTTCCACCTCAGAGACTTATCTGAATTTGGCCCTGTGCTGGCAACCAGAGTTCCACAAATACAGACGAGTAAATTTCTTCACAAGTCAGTTCATCTTTCTCTGCTGACCCTCCTTCCCTTACCCCTCTTTCCACTTGCTTCTTCTTGAATTGGTGTGCATTTAACTCCTCACCGAAATACCAATATTTGCACATACATTTTTAAATATACTAATTAAATAATTTATCTTTGCAGAATGATATTCTTGAATATTTTCACACTAAGATGATGGTTTTCTTTTCCTGTTGTCTACTGTCTTTTCTATTACTAATGCATTAAAAGAAAAATTGTGGTTCTATGCTATGGAAGTTACTAAAGTTGATTTTCCACAGATGCTGAAGATGTTTGGCACTAATTCTTTCAAGGTCTGACCCGAGTTCAGACAAATGACAAAACAGAACGTATCCTGTTAAATTCAGCTCATGGCTATCATCAACGTCATCACATGTTTACTATTGTTTCCAGTAATGTAATGTTGAATATTGAGTCTCTGGAGAAAGACATGGCATTTAGAAGTATAATACTAGTTTGTATAGTTAGGATTATATTGCCTTCATGACCTCCCTCTTCAAAAGTGGCTATAAAAGTTAGCTGTGAGCTCAACTTATTTGGACATAATTTCCCTTTTTCTGCAAGAACCATTTTAATATAAGGATTTTCTGAATGAAGAGCAGCTGCTTTTAAGAATCAGTCATAATCCTGTTGTCTGCTTTACACAGCCTTATCATTTTCTGCCTTACTTTCTCAGTTGATTTCTATTTAATAATGTTTTTCTATTATTTCCCAATATTATGCAATGCTTGATGAAAGAATTGTTTCTGTATCATCTCCTACTGTCTCTGAGCTCCTAGTAGATGGTATATGGAATAGATACTACTCTGGTAGATTCTTGCCTGCCATCTGTCTACATAGCTGAAAACATATCGTATGCCTTGGTCGTGCCTTTCGTATTTGTTGGTCTATGTGAACTGAGTTTTGTAAATCTGTGAACAACAATAGGTGCTGCATTTGAATAGTGAGAAACGTGAAATATCTGAACTGTAGGATACATATACTTACTGGCAGAGAATGCAATTTGTAGTGAAAAATCAAAATTAAGCTATATAGGAGTGCTTAAAATAGTTGATTCTCTTTATGCAAGAACATTTTAATGGTTTGAGTTTTACATTTTTGATGTTCATGAAGATTTATAATAATTGAAATACAAGATATTGACAATTATTTCTTGGAAAAACACTAATTATGAGCTATTATAATGTTTTATATAAATATATTATGTGCATCAATTGAATTTAGTAATATTCTTGTTCTAGCAGTAACTTTGCATAGATACTTGGCTAAAATAGATGTAATAGGATTAACTTCCTCACAACTCCATAATCTACTCCAAAAATGTTAGGGACTTCAACTTAATTGTTCTATAGTCATTTTTATTAAAATGACACCCTCTGCATGCTGTTTTAGTCTCAATATTCTATTAAGTTTCACAGGTAAGGGAGGCTTGTATGTGTCACATCTGATGTGGTTGTCTTATATCATGGCTAAATACACTTTTCTCTGCAAGTCAGCTCAGTCAAGAATCATATTTCAAAGTATCTACTAGCAAGAATTTGAGAATACCTCCACATATATTTCATTATTGTTTCCATGATTTTCTTTTGAGAATATAATTGTGAGAAAAAATTGAATATGGTGAGAAATTGACATTTGGGGATTAACGTAGAGCTATGTGTTTTTCTTCTCTGCCAGAAGAGATGATACCACGCCTTGATATTCAGTCAAATTACACAGTATTCATTTGTTAACTTTTTCTTGGTTGATATTGTAATTACTGATTGCAAACTAGGAACTGGGACTGAAAAATTATATAGCTGCTCTGTCTCCCAGTTTCCTGTATCCTTTTATAGCAGTAGACTGTCCCAGACAAAATGCATTTTTAGATTTTTTTCTTTTTTTTTAAAAAAAACTATTTCCTTTTTCCTTCTATTTTAACATTACTTTCTGTATGTTTCACATCAACATTGACTAAAAAAACCCATATAAATAACAGTGTGTACTTAGATTCAAATGATCCAGCTGAGATTCAAGTCTTGTTTAAATTCAGACTAAAAACTAATTTTCCTCTTAGAGCTTCAATGTAGGAGGACACTTAAAGGCTCATTAGTCCTTATTTTCTAAACTGTAATTTACTGGCTACTTGAAAAGAGGAAAAAAAGCAATAAAAATATCCCTATAATGCTCCAGCATAATATAGCAGTGTTATATATAGAACAAAAGCAGTACAATAAAGCAGCAGATATTTTACAGTTGGTCTTTAGTCCAAAGTTACAGGTTTATTTTATAAACTTCCAGTTCTATTATTGTCTTGGAATGTATGTTGATTTATTTTATTTTTTTTCCCTCTTCCCCCACCCTGTTCATCATTCACCATTGTTTGTAGAAAAGCCCAACTTCTGCTTTCATGACAAAGACCCTGGAATCTGCCGAGGCTATTTTTCCAGGTATTTCTACAACAAAGAGACAAAGATATGTGAAGTATTCAAGTATGGTGGGTGCCTAGGAAACCAAAACAACTTCAAGAATTTGGAAGAATGCCAGACTATCTGCCAAGGCAATGGTAAGTTGTTGTCCTCATTATTCTTAATTTTATTATTGTATAAACAGTGTTGTGTTTTAAGAAAAGACAACTTGGGGTACCCTGAGGTGGCAATAATTTATATCTGAAATTAACAGTAATTATATATTTTTTTTTAAATAAAAATACAAAAATGAAGAACAAACTAAAAAAACTGGTAGGTACTATTGATTTTAATTAATATTACAGGACTCCTACTTTTTTTACTTTTCTCATGACAGTTAGTTGCTTGCATATATGTCTTTTCTACAACTCCCTGAAAAATATATATTAAACCTGTTTCTGTAAGAAAGAACACTGTATTAATTTTCAGAAATCTGCATCCTATTTAAGATATCTAAGTTGAAACAAATAACGTGATCTAAAATTTGAAACAGAATGTTAGAAGCAATACAGACAGATGAGGTAATTAAAATAACATCAATTTCAAATAAAGAGGGGATTTGGTCCACAATGAGTACTGTTTCCTGGCCATACCTGGACATTAGAGCGTCACATTTCTCCATTAAACTTGCCATTAGGGGAAAGACTTTATAAATACACTTTCTAGGGGGGAAATTTGGTTTGAAATATATTATAAAAATATTGATACCTACATTGAAGAAGGCAGAGAGTTTACAGTAATAGAGATTATAACAACAGGGAATGGAGAAATGGACCTATTCTGGTTACAGCCACATAAATCTTTTTCTATAATCTAAAACCTGCCTGCTACTTGGCTTTATAATATCATAAGATGTTAATATTTTATTTTTTTTTACCCCATACATCTGAATATACTCTTTTCAAACCAAGTCTTGGACTGAAAAGAGGTGCCAATGTAGGCATTTCTGGTTTTACTGTTTCCTTGTTGTGCATTGCTAGCTTCCCACCAAAGAATCATGGAAACCTGTCCCTCACTTGGGAATGATTTAGCTGTGCAGTTCAGGCTACAAAACAGCCATTCAGACTGACCATTCATCCACTTCCTCATCCTACTAGTTCCTATGAATTGTTGTATATCAGAATACAGGAACTTTCATAACTCCTCTCCCCTTCACAAAGTATTTATTTTTATTCATAGGACTAATACATTGTCCAACCCAGAGCCTCCAGACCCTTTTGTCTTGCTGATATCTGGTGGGTCTTTTTCCAGGACTGTTTCATAATCAGTCGTTTTGGCAAGGGGAACTTGAGCTTATTCACATTTAGAAAAGGGAAGACCCACTATGGTTCTTTTTAAAAGATATGTTTTAAAGATATACATGTAAAGCCCTGTGCTGTTCCCCTACCTTTGCTGAAGCATTTCTTCATGGCCTCTGATTCCACTTCTGACCTTCTGGACTAAAAGTTGCAGAATGTTGGGGTTTTTTCCCTGACTTTAATCTGAAATAACACCTTCGTGTAAATTTGTATGAGTACCCAAGAAGAAAGAGAGGATTAGGGGCCATTGCCATGGTTTAAATAGATCAAAGTTTTTACCTGAGTGATATTGAATCATTGATACGAATTGTTTTATGTGGGTTTTCCTCATTGTTTTCCTTTCACTTCTCTTTTAGCAAATTTATTGCCAATTGCTCCAGCTGAAGAGCATCCTAACACTGGGAACAGTAGTTCCCCAGAGGAAAAACCCAACCAGTTTCCTGGGATCTTTGGTAAGAATTTGCTTTTGCTGTTCATAGTTACGCTTTTTTAATGCAGACACCCTTTGGCTTGTCCACGCATTTTCCTGTTTATTTGAAGTTGAAATACATAAGCACAGTGAATTCAGTAATATTAAAACCAGGTCCATAGCTGTTTTGTTGTCAGTAATACACATTTTGAAAAAGGCTTACAATTGCAAAGGTTAGAATGTCTGCTAGTGATATAAAAAATAACCTTACCAAACCATGTTTGATTTAAATCTTACATTGGTAAAATTAAAGAAGAAAAAAGAATCCATCCCAAAGTTGCTTCAGCACATCAGTTTCCTATGTCTTTGGGACTTTATACCACTAAAAGGCAGTATTTCTTTAATACTGGCATGGAGTAAGGCAAACGGGTACCAATCATAGCTTATTTTCAGAGCTTCACTGTGTCTAGATAATCCATCACTTACTGTTTCACTTTTTTTCCCTTCAGTCAACTTGTTGCCAACTGCTCAAAATGAGAAGTCCAACAATCTGAACAGTAGTTCCTCAAAGGAGGAGCGCAACCAGTTTCCCATTTTTTTTGGTAAGATTTTGCAGTTCTTATCTCTCAGTCTTTTATATGCACTCTGGATTGCTTTTCCATTTCCGCCCATTCTCCAACATATCTGAGACTAAAGAGTGGGCTTCAATCTATGTCAAATGTTTTGATAAGCAGAGAAAGTCAAAGCAAAGAAATATATTGCTACTTGCAGATCTTCAATAAATGTTAGAAAGTGGAAGACAGACCATATCTTGTAATCTTCTGAAAGTGTGTGCTTCCTGAAGGTCTTATAAATACAAAAATTTAAAGATAAAAAGCAGTGATGAAGAGTTCTTTTAGTCAAAATTAGTATTTTTGTGGGGATCTAATTTGCAGCTGATTTAAAGCTCCTCTGACCTGTTAAATAAGGACCATAATTTGGATTTTGGAATGCGGCACGATAGATTTAGCATAATACTACTTTTTTTTTTTTTTTTCAGTAGGGCCATATTAAACTCAATCCTTGGTTTGAGTATAATCAAAATAAGCATGAATTAATTTTGTGTCTGCTTCAAGGTATTTTTGCATTATGTATTATAATGCAGATGAGAATCTGGACCTTCACTGTAGAGTGATAGGTTTTAAGAGTTTCTACAGCTGGAGGCTGTCCACTATAGATTGCTGGTACTTGCTCACACTGTAAAGGGTGACTGAATTTGAGGCATGTCATTTTTATGATCCACAGTTATGCAAGAGGAAACAAGAAACAGTTGGGAAAAGCCTGAGCGTTCTTACCAAGCATTTCTGTTGCTTTTTTGCATTTACACTTACTTGTACTTTTGGGCACTGAGTGATGGCTTACAAATTCATTAAGGTTTTTGTCTTTAATATGTTCTGTAAGATAATGGGCATGTAGGATAACATTCTTGTACTCTTTGCTTAGAATGATATGTCTAATAAAGATGGAATGTGTGTTGTATTCTATTTTTTTTGCCTGCACTATGATCCACATGCACTGTTGAGTTGAGGTAAGTTTCTGTGATAGCTGGATTGTTTGTTTACCACATACAAAGCATCAATGCACTCTGTTATTAAAAAAACTGAATATAAAACAGTGAAGCTTTTGGCAAGTTATTTCACTGACAAATATCTGTATGATTTAAGGGCTGCTAATAAGTCTAGGGACATAAGAGCATACACGTTTCCTGAAGGTTTTTACTCATAATAGGCATCTCCAAATTCTCAAAACAACTAATCTATACAAGCAAAGGGGCATGATTCACTCTGTTTTCTTAGAAGAAACTGAAGGGTTCTTGGGTGTGTCAGCAATAGAGAATTTTCTGGTAGAGCAGATTTTGGGAGGGAGAGGTGAGTGTAAGAGAAAGAGAAGACTCGAAAGTCCATGGAAGAAAGGATTGGGGAACAAGTGTGGGTGGAGTCGGTGTAGCTGGATGGGTTGGGTAAGAAACGTGACCTTGGAAGGACCAGTGTGTTTCAGTGGAAAGACCCCACAGGTTCTTCCCTACTGTATTACCTTTGTCTGTCTTGCACTATCCTGCCCCGTGCAGCCACCTGCTGCCATTCTGTTTATCAGTCTGTACCTTCCAGGCTGCTGGGATGGGCTAAAATCCTGTGCTCTGTGCAGTTTCAGTATGGGAGGAGGAAAGGGTAGGGCCAAAACCGACAGCTGATTTCTCCGAAGAGCATAGCCTCCAGTCCTGCTGTTACTAGATGTAGAGGTGTAAACTGAAGTTGCAAGGTAGAGCCATCTTGTACAAACACGCATGGTGACTCCCACAGCTCTCAGTGAGGGACAAGAATCTGGCTGTGCACATATGAAGTCAGGATGGACTGTTCAGGGTGGAGTGGCTGATGCCCATCTTCTCTAGCAGGGGCAAAATCTGCCACTGTAACATCTATTTTGCATGCATATTGGTGTGGCTATGCATCTTCATTTTTTTAAATACATGACCACCATTAAAAAACAATTTTGCAAGGAGTTGTCTTTTACAGAATACCTTACCTCACAATTGAAATGCTATTTCATCTTGATCTCAAGAAAAAAATACATATTATTGGTGGTATGTATAACTCTGTAATGATATCAGATCAATAGATTTCCAACAAAGTTCTTGATCTTCAGAAAATTGAACTCTTCTGTGGCCAAACAAAAGAAACATTTTTTTCCCCCTGTATATAAACATGAAACTTCTAGTGCTATGTCTCAGCTATGAACTTTCTGCAGAGCGTGAAGATTGTTCTGGTCTTACTCTGCTGCGAGACCTAAACTAACTTTTATTCTGGGAAAGTTAAGAGAAAGTGAAGCCAAGAATCCAACCTTTCATTTTTAGATTATACGTAGTGATCTATGTTAGGAAATTACAAGTGCTATACTCTGCATTCGCTAAGTGGGATGCAGGATCAAAAAGCAATTTTCAACTCGGTAAATCTGGAATGGCACACAGAGGCAGCTTCTGTTATTACTTCTCAAAGTCAGGGACATATCTTTTGCTGATATAAATTGACACAGTTCTATTCGCTATAATGGATCTGCACCAATTTATACCTATAGAGTATTGTCAAGTGCAAATGACTCGTTATTTTTGTAATAGCTTGTCTACATGAAGATTCTTTTATTTTCTCTTTGCTGAAACCAGAAATGAGATACTGAGGTCCGCCTATATCAAAAATCTGGCAATAAAGCTGAAACTTTACAAATGTCATGCACCTGTGTCTAGCGAAAGAGAATGCAGGAAGCATTGTTTCTCGTCCAGCTCACCGAGATCTTTTCAAACTTCTTTTGTACTGTGATGAATTAACAGTTCATTGTCACACAACCCCAGCTCAGCCTGAGGGATAATGATTATTGTTGGGATTATTTTTATAAATGAGTCTATATCTGAATATGCATGTTTCAGAGATTTGAAGTATGATCATGTCATCTGTTCACACCATAGAGGGGAGGTGTCTGGGATTCAAGAAAAGGCTGTATTGTAATAATTATGTCTTAAACCATACACATTTAAAGGTTGTTTAGGTGGTAGTGAAGGGTAAGATACAGTAGTCTTTTTATAGGTGAGAATGATGGCCTTTTTTTATCTACTGCTTATTTCATATAATTAGTTTAGATATTTTTTCAGAAAAAAAAAATCAAATATTGCAGTTTTTGGTCTTACTCTCTCACCAAAATAAAATCAGTCCAAACATCTGCATCATTAAGAAAAAGAAGTAACAGAAAGACAAGATAACAGAAAGGGCTATGCTGTATTTTGCTGATGTAAAGCCTGAAACACATCTGAGAAGCTCCTGCAGAGCTAGTGGCCAGAGTTCTAGTTCCCAAGCTCCATTGAAGATGGGTTCCAAGGTCTAATTTCCTTGAGAAGTTTTTGATGGAATTGCCATGTTTCTGGGGAACAGAACTTTGTATTTCATTGTACCAGCATTTTCCAGAAGAAAACTTTACACCTGGAAATGTTTGAATAACTCAGCTTGGAAACTTTCCTTTGTCCTTTGCCTCTGTGAATTGTAAATTCTTTTTTCCCATACCTGTTCATGACCTGACTTATGTTCCATATATTTGGCAAATAATATACATAGCAAATCCAAGTTTGTGAGCTTGCTATTGAATATTGAAAATCTGTTTAAATCAGATATTTTGGAGAAACAGAATAGAACACAAGGATGAAGCTGGAGTCTCAAGGCCTGTTGCTGTCAGTGCAAATAACTGGTTGATTTCTGTAGAAATTGCATCAAAGGCGTAGGATAGGCTGTATAGTTCCATGGATAAAAAAAGTTAGAAAGAATGTAATAACACTTATTAATTTTTATGTTCTTATGATCCAATTGATGTTAACATGTATTGTGTTATATAATGTCACGAGTAATGCTACTTGCACTGTGGAAAAAAAATAATGTTCAAATGTAATCTAAATTGTGGAAAAGGTAGAGTTAAAACCAGCATTTCTATCTGAAGTAGTCTCTCAATAAAGTTGACATCTGTAATTCATGGACTTGTAAGGACTAGATTAGGGGAAAATAATTCTGATAGTGGGACATGTATTACTATTTTCTTTTACTGTTTTCAGTGTGTACCCTTTCCTCTCTGTGTAGTTTTGCAGGTTGTGGGATTTGTTTCTTTCTCTTTCTCTTTTCTTCATAAAAAAAGCAGGAGATAAAACATTTTGATCACTGAGAAAAATATGTAAACTTACTGTAACACCATATACCCAAGTACAGCATTAGAAGCTGGGGCTGAATAGAGAAAACTTACCTGGTTCTAATGCTCCCAGTGACTGTGTTAACATACTGGCTTATAGATTGTCCTGCCAACACAGATGTTGGGCTGGGCATGGCACAGTACATATTTTATGTTTACAGTAACTTAAAGCTAACAGGTCTTTTAGTGATCAGTATATTAAAACAAATTCATAATTTTTATGACCCTCAGCGGGCAGGAAATCATGATGTCATTTCAATTTTTATTGTAGTATACTGTTTTGTTGAAAAAAAATGGTTCTTATATGGCAAAATTAAGATATTTTCTTCATGGGCTGGTTGCTTCTGTGAGTGTAAAGAATATGCAGATATTTTGAAGATGAACAGGAATAGTGTTTGGTATCTGGGGCATGTATCCACCAATAATCTACACAAACAACAACATAATTTTTGAAAGAGTGCAAGAAGGATTTTGAATAGCATTTGGATGCCACTCTGCCAGCTGCATTATATGTACATAGGTAGTCCTTATTCATCAGTAACCACATCACTGGCTCCATGGCTCCCCTAAAGCTTACAGTCATGAGAACTCCTTCATGAGGGGACTCTGAAGTCTCTGGAAAATTCTACATACCAGATAAGTAAGTTATGTTACAAAGAATACATTTACATTCTGTTGTATATTTGAGAAACTTATGCTGTTTGGCCCTTTCATCCCTGGCAAGCCTTTCTGCTTTGTTCTGAAATTATCAGGTTAAAATAGGCAAGCATTTTTTCTTAATGTTGCTGAACATATGCTTTGAAAGCTAACATCCTTTCCAGCTACAGTGAGATGAAATTAGTTCCAGGCACAAGAGTTCTCAATTAGAGCAGTACCAAAAGCATTGCATTAGTTAATTTAACTACCGTCTTCATTATAAATAAAACAGTAGACTTAATATAAATCGTATCACATTGTGGGCTCTTCCTCTTGATCCAGAGTGAACCTTACTCTTACAGTAATGTCACAGCTATAAAAACAAGTTAAGTAGTGCTCATTTTATAATCTGAAACTAACTTATTCTGTCTTGAAAAACCAACTTGTGACTAAGTTTTTTGCATTTCAGAATTCTTTTTGTATAGTATGATGTTGCTAATACAGCTTCAAATATATTAATTTCATTCTGCTGTCTTAGCTTTCCATAAATCATCATTTTATTTTTTTCCCCAGCAATTTTTCATACTTTTTCACCATGCCAGTTCAACTATTATACTTCACAGATGAACCTTTTTCAGCAGGTATAATATGTGTAAGACAAGTAAGATGCATCATGTCCTTTTTGGATATCTTCTTGTCAGCCTCTTGAATTTCCCAAGTTAATTCATAACTTCTTGCTTTCGGCAACTCCTCTGCTTCCCGCTTTTGTGACAACAGGATGTCTTCTGCTCTGTTGTAACGCAGATTATCCCCTAAAATTTTTACTTTGTTTTTCCTCTGAACCACTTCTACCTGGCTTCGTAGCTTCAAGAAGCCATTTGACTAGCTTCATACTTCCATTTGTGCATTCAGATCTCAGCTATCTCAATTCTGCTACTTCTTGAAGAAAAAGGGTGATCCTTTGGGTCCCTCATAACTGTTGATAAAATGGCTCCCATTCAGTTTCCTGCATCCTGTGCAGCAATTGTGTCAGTTCTGATTTTGTTCGGGTCACTCCAGGGTGATAGATGATGGAGTTTCTCCAGGTTTGGGAATTCTGGCACGGATTTGCTTCTTGAACTTGCTGCAGTGCCCAGGTACTTCGGACACCTGAGGTTCATCTTCCAGTGGTTCAGTTCTCATACTCTCACTTGCAGCGACACTGAAGAAACAAACCATCAGCCTGCTCCTTGGAATGGTAAAAACCTAACAGCAGCACTAAAGCACCAGCATCTCGGTCACTTTGTGCACTTATTCTTCACGTTCCATCTTTTGTTATTTTGCAATTTACAAGCTATTTCTTGATAATTGCTCAGTGTTTTCCAATAGACCAACTTCTGTTACTCAGGTCAAGCTTTCTGTATTCATACCACAAACCCAATATTAAGGTATTGAATCTGACAGTGGAAATGCTGCGTACTTTTACCTCTGTTTGATTTCAGAATGCCTAGCAGTACTTAAGAAAAATCACTTCAGTAATTATCATAAATGTTTATGATGTTTTAAAACCTATTCGAGTTTCATTTATTTCACTTCTCTTTCTACAAATACTTCACTTGAAACTTCTCTAATTGAATTTGAATGCTATCTCCTATCACAGAAATGGCAATTTTATCACTAAATATATAGGAAATAAACCTTGCTCTTAGGTAAGCTTTTGCTGTCTTAAATCATAAAAAGACAGATGTTTATGTAAAGTATGCTGGATTTTCAGGAGGGCAGAAATAAATTTGCCATTAAATTTCATGTAAATTTCAGAGTTCCGTAACCTTCAAATATCATATACCGTATTGATGTAATAGAAAACTGGTAAACTGCAGTGTTGTCTCTAACTTTGTTTTTCTCGGTCTTTCTAGAACCACCCCCTATCCCTTCTTTGTGCATGACCCCTATGGACAGAGGACTTTGTAGAGCCAAAGAGTTAAGATTTTTCTACAACTACTCAACTGGAAGATGTCACCCATTCAGCTACAGTGGTTGCGGTGGGAATGAAAATAATTTCATCTCCAGAAAGTCATGTTTGAGGATCTGCAAGAAAGGTATGAGAAGCGATACTGCCACAGACTATCCTAAGAGGTAAATATTATGCAGGCTGAAACATTCGTGCATCTTTTGGTAGTCAGTATTGGCCTGGTATAATGTGATGCTTGAAAGTCCTATAAAAGTGAAAATGGAAATCAGAAGAGAGACAGAGATAGAGAGAGAAAGATGGACAGTAAAGTACAGTGTACAAGAACAGAAATAAGACAACTTGGCATTGGTCAGGCATATGAAGACTTTAGGTAAGACAATGTTCTTTTTTTTTTTTTTTTAATGAATATCCCTTGAAAGCAAGACTTGTCTCTTATTTCTGATAATCTTGGATGTGTTAGTCGTACAGCACTTAATCTTACTTTCTTCATTTTACCTTTAGGATTCAATAAAAAAAAAGGTGAAAGAAGATTAATAAAAATCAAGAAGAAAAGAAAGAAACAATCAGTAAAGGCTCCGGGAGAGGAAATCATGTCTGAAAAAATACAACTTTGATTTTTATGGAAATGTGAAGTCAACTACTATTTGTCTGTGAATGGAGGCCTTTATTGTACACCCTTTAAAAATATTTACTGTACTGATTATTTTGATTACATATTATTAAGCTGCTTATATTTTTATTATGTATTCCTCATTCATGTTAATAAACATTACCCTTTACTTTGATAAAGGCTCTTAAATTGTCGTTTGATTGTATATAATTGTCAGAGCTGAAACAGGACAGAACAGACTGTGTGGGTGTGTAACTCATAAGGATTAAAAAGTAGACAGGATTCAAATTTATTTTTTTACCCATTATTCTTTTTTTAAGTCTATTTTTGTGCTAAAAAAAGGATAATACTTGTCAAAGAGTAATCACTTTGTCAAGCATGATTGTTTCAATCATAGATTAAAAGACAGGCCTATTGCTATAAAGAGGAAATAGACACCGGGTTTGTTTTAATCAGATTTATTTTAGGTTATGCAAGCTAGATTTAACTCTTCCAAAGTATATATAATTACACTATTGTAAAGTGAATTTAAGATCAGAATTAACCCACCGAAACCCATAAAGAGAGTGTTAAAGTTGTGAATGTGTGAAGCAATTTGACAGACACTTGCTAAGATGTAAAAATATATTTGCTGGGATCATTGATTTTTATCTTTGTTACTGAACTAGAGTCATGGCTAGCAAGTTAATAATTTCCAGAAATAAGTATTAATTTAAAAAAAAAAAAAAAAAACGAACAAATTCCGTTCATAGAAATCAGTATAGTTGCTTTAGACATAACACCGTACTTACTCTCCAGTTGACTTTGAGGGGTTTTTTGGTTGGGGTTTCATGAGTGTTTTTAAGACTGACATGAAACAGTGGTGCAGTTTCTGCCCTTCTCCAAGGCAGCTCTCTGATCTTGAGTAAATCTTTTATAATGAGATTTTTTTAAAGGAAAGGAAAGAACAAAAAAAAATAAAAAGGGAGTTTGTTTCCTACTAAGTTTTTTAGAAGCACCTTGTTGCCCACAAAACAAAAGATAGCAGGATATTTTTTAAACTATTCTCTGTCTTTGATGTCGTAAATCTTTTTTTTTTTTTATGTATCACACACAATGTTTTAAATGCTTAAACTACAAAGGATAGTTACACTATTTATGCTTAAAACTACTGATGATAGTTACACTATTGTTTGTGAGAGGTGGTGTGGAAATAAGTAGCCGAAATACATGTGAGTGGCTCAGACACTACAGCAAGGACAAGGACAGCAATGACAGACTACTAAATGATCTGTTGTACGAAGCTGCCTTTGCCTGTGCACCACAAATCGCATGTGTGATTTCAGAAAACCTGTGGTTTATAGGCCTGATAAGCTTTGGACTAACTCCACAAAGAGGCTAAGCTTTACTGCTGAAAATGAAAGCATTTTTACATTCTAGTATCTGAGTGAGTGGGTAAGTAAAAGTCACGCATTTTTGTACAGAGATTCTATCCGAATCTCTTTTCTGGTGTCTAAGCCCTTTCATGGCTTTTAATCTAGGACCTATTAAGTCTGATTCGAAAAACGCTCATGAAACTGAAATGCACAACAGAAAATATTTATGTAGAGTCTTGTAATCTAAAATGTATAAACACCACAGACTTACAGTGCAATAACTATATAAATCTGACAGGAAACCTATAAACTCCATAGGCTGCTGCAAACTAGTAATGTCCATTCTCTACACAGAATCAACTTGGTGTGTAGCTACCTGCCAGTTTCTGTTCCAGTTTGACATCTTCCCATTCTAGTTCATCATTTTTATTGACCTTACTGTCCAGGTATCGTCTGCACTCCACGCACCAGGAGTCGAGTCTGTAGTTGGGAGTTCCACACAGGAGCAGAGCGGTAGGTTAAACACTTGGACCAGCTGGAATTTGTCATCACAGACAAGCAGAGAGCCCATGGTTTAAACTGCTCCCAGGCCTTTCCACTTGTAGCATAGCAACTGCCTCAGCACAGTAGCATACGTGGCCTCCGAAAGCACGAGTTGCTTTAGGCACACAAGGTATGGGAGAGGCAGGACTTACCAGGGGGCTGAACACCCCACTAATGCCGCAGTTACCCTGCTTCCACGCCGACACTGGCTTCTGTCTGCCTGGCTAGGAATGCAGGTGAGTGCACAGCTGCCTGCACTTTTTCGTGTATAAATGTTGGGGAAGGCAGTAAAAATATCTAATCTTCCATTCTTAGTCATACTAATTTCCCATGGCTTGCCAGTATTAAAACTTAGGTCATCGCTAGATCGTGCGATGTACCTCAGAACGGAGACAGAGCTGAGGTATGTGCAACTCAGCTTCTCCAGCAGCGCAGTGACTCAGTAAGGACATTCTGAGTCTATGGTTTTGGATTAAAGCAAAAAAGAAAATGTCAAGTGCTAGGTAAGTAACACATTTGCAGCACCCACCTTCTGTCACTGACATCTGACAGACAGGCAGTACTATCCTATACACCATGCTAAAACCCTTCTACAAAGAATTGTGGTATTCCCTGACATGGTTCTGACATATATCACCATGATTCACATTAAAC